ACCCCTTATGCTAGCGTTGGTTTGACGCCGTCTTTGCGCGCTGTGTGGATTGTCTGGTCTCGGTGCTCTCTCTCTCTCTCTCTCTCTCTCTCTCTCTCCCTTCTCTTTCTTCCATCGTCGGTGCTCTTGCCATTGCGTGCAGAGAAACCGCAGCGTGCCCCGTGGGTGAGGCGGCGGTAGTACAACTACAGTGCCGCGCCAGTCTCAATCGGGCACGCGAGATCAGCAGCACCGTGGCGTACGGCTGGAGACATGATGCGACAAATCGAGGCATTTGTATGACCGTGACGTGACTTACAACTCCGTGCAGCAAGCTACCTACCATAGGCACGGGACTGACGCACCAGCCTGCCCTCCACTCCCTTCCCCCTCTTTCCTTGCCTCATGGCGCAAAGTTTACCCCGCGCCGCTTGACCCTTCGTCGCGGGGGCGAATAGTGCGCCAGAGACACACACGCCCCTCCCCCTTCCCCGTGCACGCCGCCGCCGNCCAGCCTGCCCTCCACTCCCTTCCCCCTCTTTCCTTGCCTCATGGCGCAAAGTTTACCCCGCGCCGCTTGACCCTTCGTCGCGGGGGCGAATAGTGCGCCAGAGACACACACGCCCCTCCCCCTTCCCCGTGCACGCCGCCGCCGATGATGCGCTGATTTAATTATACACCCGACTGCACGTGTGACGAGACCCAATGCCCTGAGCGGCGGCGCGGCGCGCACGTGTGGCTCTCGCAGCGACCACCACGGGTAGCACCGTTGCGGGGCACGTCTATTGCCCCAACAGCGGACTTGCCCATGGAAGAGTGACACGCATGCACGCGGACGCCTTACCAATCACAGGTCCCTTGGCGGCTGTACATATCGATGCCGCTCCATAGGACACCCAGTGAGGCCAGAAGAGGTGATGACGCTGCTGACTGTCGTGTTTGCTCCCCGCGCACGTCACCCGATGTCGTGGAGCTCGGGGCTTGGCGGCGTGGTGCTGCGCTGCTGTGCGCCGTGAATGCCGGCGGCGGAAGACACCCCTTATGCTAGCGTTGGTTTGACGCCGTCTTTGCGCGCTGTGTGGATTGTCTGGTCTCGGTGCTAAGCCCCACTCTCTCTCTCTCTCTCGCTCTCAGTCTACTACATTTTTTTTGTAGTAGACAATGCTATCAGTGGAGGTGGGTTCGTTATGTTTTTTTAACCACCCCATGGAATCATGGGTTGTTGCTCGTGTGTCGGGAAAAGGGCCGAAGGGGTACGCATTGAAGACCGAAGATAGTGAGAGGAAGTGCATCGGTGAGTACTTTGACTCTGTACCTGACGACGCTGTCACACCCTGTCGGGAGGATTTGCTGGATGAGCAGCCAGATGATCTTTTGACGCTGACGGTGCTACATGACGCTCCGCTGCTGCGCTGCCTGTACCTGCGATACTTCCGAGACATCATTTACACGAACATTGGCGCTATCGTTGTGGCCATTAATCCCTACAACTTTAAGATTCCATGGTACGAGGATTGTAAAATGGTTGAGTACCTGAGTGAGGGTCCGGTGATTAAGAAGAACTTGCCGCATTCTTGGGCCCAAGCGCATAATACATACAATGAGATGATTGCGGACGGTGCGAACCAGTGTATTCTTGTCTCTGGAGAGTCCGGTGCGGGCAAAACGGAGGCGACAAAGATTGTGGTGAAGTACCTCGCGCAGATATCATGCAAGCATGGCACAGAGGAGGAGAAAAAGATGGGGCTGGAAGTTGGCGCGAGGTTGAATGCATGCTCACCTATATTGGAGTGCTTTGGAAATGCACGTACCGTTCGGAATGACAACAGCTCCCGTTTTGGGAAGTTTATGAAGGTGAAGTTTGACGAGAAGGGACGGCTTGTGGGTGCGGAGACGACAAAGTACCTCCTGGAGAAATCTCGTATTGTGACTGCGGCGGAAAACGAGCGGGTGTATCACAGTTTCTACCTCATTGTACGAGGTGCCATGGGCCACAAGCTTCAACTTGAGAGCGAGACGGTTTACAGGAGCCTGAACGCGGGGAACTGTCTACAGAACTCGGAGTACAACTCGGTTGAGGATTACAACGAAGTTGTTGGCGCCATGGGCCAGATCGGCATGAAGGATGACGAGGTTTATTCCGTGTGGTCGTGCGTTGCCGGCATTCTCTGTCTTCTCAACGTTGCCTTCGAAGCGGATGGGGAGGGGGCGCGGGTGGAGAAAGCAACGGAGAAGTATTTGAAGAACGCGGTGCGTCTGTTGCGCATCGACGAGGCGATGCTATGGAATGAGCTGGTGACCACAACACTTGTCGTGCAGAAGACGTCAACCGTTAAATTGCTGCGTCCAGCACTTGCCGTTGACGTCCGCGACGCACTTGTAAAGGCCTTGTATGATGGCCTTTTCACCTGGCTTGTGGATAAGTGCAACCAACTCTGTGATGTGACCGCGACAGGTAACTGGATTGGACTTCTGGACATCTTTGGCTTCGAGGACTTTAAGAAGAACAGCTTCGAGCAGCTCTGCATCAACCTGACGAATGAGACGCTGCAGAATCACTACAACAAGCACATCTTCGAGAAGGACATGGAGGAGTGCCGTGCAGAGAACATTGACGTGACGGAGGTGGTGTGCCCTGACAACTCACCGTGTCTGCGGCTCATTGTCGAGAAGGGCGGCATCCTTGCTTTGCTCGATGAGGAGTGCACGCTCGGCAAGGGCAGCGAGTTGGAGTTCCTCGCGAAAGTGAATGACGCACATATGGGTAAGAACAAATTCTTCGAGAAGAAGAAGGTGAGCCGTGATACTTTCATCATACACCACTACGCCGCAAGCGTCACCTACGACGTGAACGGCTGGCTGGAGAAAAACCGCGACACACTAAAGGAGAACATGAAGGTGTTGATGCGCAACTCGAAGGACCCGCTCATCTGCGAGCTTCTGGAGGCCCCGTTGCCGCCGGAGGTGCGCAGCAAACGGCCGACCGTCGGTTCTTTCTTCAAGGGGCAGCTGGCGGCGCTCATGGAGGTGATCAACAACACCAACCCGCACTGGATCCGCTGCATCAAGCCACACCCGGCGAAGTGCCCTTTGATGTTCGACGGGGTGCAGACAATGAGGCAGCTCGAATCAAGCGGCGTGCTGGGCACAGTGAAGATACGAAAGGCGGGATACCCTGTGCGTAACCTCTTTGACAAGTTCAACAGGCGATACAAAGTCATCGCCGGAAACTCGGCCGTAGGGAAGGGCGGGCGCGAACTGGCGCAGATCATCCTCACGGTATGCGGTATGAAGAACAAAGCCATGGCACAGCTTGGTAGGACGAAGGTGTTCATGAAAGCCGAGGCCTTCCCCATCATGGAGCGGCGGCGCAACGAGGCACTTGCAAAGTTCTGTCGAAGACTTCAAAGCTGCGGGCGCGGGTACCTTGAGCGGCGGCGCGCCAACAGCGAAGACTGCGAGCAGAAACGTAGGCGGCTTGTCACGCTGCTTACGAAGGAGTACCGCGCGTACATGCGACGCTTTGCGGACCTGCGGCAGGCGCGGGCGCGCTGGCGCAAGGAGCAGGGAGAGCTGTTTCTGCGGCGCAGTGCAGCGCTATACGAGGAATGCGTGAAGTCGAAGGCTCCGTTGCAGCAGGAGGCGCTGGAGGCGACGCGGGCGATGCACACGGCGCTGAGACAGCGGATGGAGATGCTCAAGACGTACGCGGTGCAGATGCAGAAGGAGCGACAGGATCTCATCGACGCGGACCTCGCCGCGAGGGGGGCAATGCTGAAGGAGGCCGCGGCGTACATTGATTATCTCCGTCATCTCTTCCAACAAGAGCGTGTTCTGTTCGTCACAATGCTTGTGGAGGATTTGTGTGACGATGAGTCGGAGCAACGCCACCAGATCCGCAACATTGAGCGGGGCGAGCGCGACAAGTTGTGGCGCGCCGACCGCTCGCGTTACGTTGCGCAGCGACTGGTGGATCTTGCTAAGGAGGCGTTGGCGTCGCGGCTGAGAATTGAGGCGATGGAGGCGATGCAGCGCGAAGAAGAGAGGGAGCGACGGGCGTTGGAGCAGCGGAACCGCTCGTACCTCAAGTCCTTTAAACGGAAACTCCGAGACACGGAAGTGATTGCACGCCAGCTAACATGCAGACGGGAGAAGTTTGAAGAAGCGCGAGAGCAAAAGTTGATGCAGCTGCAGGGGATGTACATGGCGGGGAGCATGGGGCGGCAGGAAAGGTGGAAGCCGCCGCGAGTGAGCCTCATTCGCGCCCCCAGCCTGGGGTACAGCAGTGCCCCACGCGCGCTCCGCCAAACCTCACCAGCTGCACCCGTTTCGCCATCACCGCGGCAGGTGGGGCCGCAGCCAACGCAGCAACAACACTATGCCAATGCGCCTGCTGTAGTGATCGACGAAATCACGCCAAGACGCTACTCCATTCATTCTGTTTCGGAACGACCCAGCTACGGCGGCAGTACTGGTGCCATTGTGGAGCAAGGCCCTTCGATGAGGGTGCATTATCGTTTTTTGCCTTTTTTACCGCTGGAGCATGACAAGTTGGCACATAAAGAGGCGCACAGCGCGCGTGCCGCATCACCGAAGTGGAGTGATGAAGCAAGTAAGCCGCTTTCAGTGTTTGCCCCGCTCGCCTCGCCGTATCGCCGATTGTCACCACGGCACTCGGCACCACTGCCGCAGGCTGAAGTGTACCTTGGTGCTGCAGCATGGCAGGACTACAGGCCGGTTCTCAAGGCGAGTTCGTGCGAGGTGGTGAAAGAGGAACTGCCTTCAGGCCCGCGGTACAAGCGCTCGAAGCGGTGGGCATGACATAACATGACAGAGAAACTGCTCGTCATATATTATATGAAGGCAGGAAGAAACGTGACAGGGAATTAATAGTGAAGGGAATCAAAAAAAAAAGAAAGTCAGTAATGCAGCGAGATAGGTATGCAAGCTCAAACCTCTATACGTGCATACATACCTATTGCTGCTGGTGTATCGTTTCAAGGAATACCAGTTCGAGTAGGGGGCCAGTTTCCCTTGCGGTTTGTTGTTGTGAAAGAATGGGTGGGATGCATTCCTTGCCGCTGCGTGATGATATGCATGGCTTTGACTCTTGACCAGGTGTATTCTTCTTTCCTCTCACTGTAAATATGTTCTTCTCTCCGTGCCATGGTTGAATGAAATGAGCAAAACAAAAAGTGTCCCGTGCAACTATACTGAAGATTGGCAGCACAGCTATTAGCACTGAAACAGCACCATGGCGAGCGCTGCGAAGAGGCTCATGGCCGCATCAGCGGTCACCGCTGCCGGTTTCATTGGCTTCAGCTACACCAACCCCGCTTGGACACAGCGGCATTTTGATACAAGGAAAGTGCCGCCCCTTCAGGTGATGGAGAATCCATCGCGCGAAGAGTGCCTGGGGAGACTGAAGGCATTCAACACCGCCGATAGTCCAATGGATGTGCTTATTGTTGGTGGTGGCTCCGTCGGTGCAGGGGCTGCGCTTGATGCCGTCACACGTGGTCTAAGTGTTGGACTCGTGGAGATGAATGACTATGCGAGTGGGACGAGTAGCCGAAGCACTAAACTCATCCACGGCGGCATCCGCTATCTTGAAAAGGCGGTGTTTCAGTGCGATGTTCAGCAGCTGAAACTGGTGGCAGAGGCATTGAAGGAACGCATCATTATGATTCATCAAGCACCACACCTCTGTCATGACATTGCCACCATAATCCCATGTTATGATCCATTTGATATAATAATGTACTGGTGTGGTGTAAAGGTGTACGACCTGATTGCCATGTGGGAGCGCGGTACCCTCCGGTATGCCGGGTTCCTTACCCCGTACAACACCCTAAAACGCTTCCCGCTTCTTCGGCACGAGAATCACAACGGAGAATTACTGCTCGGTGCTGTACAGTATTACGATGGGCAGATGAATGACGCACGTCTGTGTCTTTCGGTGGCACTCACGGCAGCCAGTTACGGGGCGGCCACGGCCAACTACGCCAAAGTGGAGAAGATGGAAGTTGTTCAGAACAAAATGGGAGAGCCGGTGGTGAAGTCCCTCGTCCGTGACCGTGTGAAACAAGAGAACTTTACAGTGTACAGCAAGGCCGTCATAAATGCTGGTGGCCCGTTTAGTACACAGGTGCAGCAGCTCATCGCAGGAAAGAGCACTACGCGCATGGCCCCCAGCTCCGGCACGCATATAGTTGTCGGGCCCAAGTACTGCCCCAAGGACAGCGCCATGGTGGTACCTTCCAACGATGGACGTGTTGTGTTTGGAATTTCGTGGTTGGGTAGCTGTCTGGTTGGCACAACAGACAACAAGTGCGAAGTCACTGAAGATGTGCGACCTTCAGAGGCGGATGTGCAGTTCCTCCTCAAAAATTTGGAGGAATATGTTGGCAAAGTGCCACGTGAAGATGTGCTGTCAACGTGGAGTGGCATTCGCCCACTCGCTCTCCCTGACGAGACATCGGGTAATGACACGCAGAGCATCGTGCGTGAGCACATGATCTCGGTGGACAAGGAGAACCTTATGCTGAGTGTTACAGGGGGGAAGTGGACAACGTACCGCAAGATCGCTCAGGACACCGTTGACCGTCTCCGCGACACAGTGCTGCAGAAGCGTGCGCCTTTCAAGCCGTGCGTGACAGAGGATCTGCAAGTCATTGGCGCCCACAACTTGGCCGTAGTACCTGCCACAGCGCCCAACGGCATCCCTGACGATGTTCACGGCCACTGGCGCAGCAACTACGGCGATCGCTACGATGTCCTGCTCGACATGGTGCGCCAGAACCCAAATTTACTAAAGCGACTGCACCCAGAAGAGCCGATTGTAGAGGCAGAGGTGGTGTATGCATCACAGCGGGAGCACTGCGAGCGTGTGCAAGACTTCCTTGCCCGTCGCACGCGGGTGTCTTTCCTCAACGTGGAGCACGCAAAAGTAATGATTCCTGAGGTTGCGCGGGTGATGGCGGAGATGAAACACTGGGGCCGCGCTAAGAAGAATGAGGAGCTGGCCAACGCCTTCAGCTCTTTGGAGTTCTTTAGGGGTAACTAAAGGCATATATACACCGGTGAATATATTCATACCGAATAAAGGCCTTTACTTCTTCCATTGTTTGGATTTGTGGGCTGGAATAAATATGTGCGATTGTTGTAGTAATGGATGTACGTACATGTGCGGTAAACGTATGTGGGCTCGCCAGAATAAACGCCTGTGAGTCGATTGAGGTCATTCAAAATATTTCAAGATTGTTTGATGTAATACCTCGGTTTGCGTGTGTGATATTCATCTTTCAGCCTTCTCTTTCAGCATTGCTTTTGGTGATGAAATCAAGTGAGGGTTTGTGTTGGCAGTTTTTATCAGATGAATACAACTCTTGTTTCAACATTAAAGATCTAAAACGAAAAAAAAAATCTTTTGCATTCTGCGCACCCACGTAGCCTGCAACTGTAAAAAGAAAAACTGTTTGAATGAATATCTTCAATAGGGAGAAAACAAAAAAAAAGAAAAAAAAGAAAAAAAGAAATTATTCTGGTGTCTTTCTTCGGTATTTTTCATTCATATTCGGTCTCTCTTCTCCGTACGTGCTGGTTGTGGTTGTTGTATAATAACAATAGTAGTACTAGTAGTAGTGGCAGGTTGCTGAATAACCACTGTCTGCTGGTGTCCAGTCAGGCCGACGAGAATCACAGATGGCGACTGCGGCGGAGCTCGGCCCGGGTGGCGTCAGCAGCCAAGGAAAGCCCATCTTCATCGCGACGGAGCACACCAAGTATGCACCTACCACGGAGCGCGAGCTCTCCGATCAGGAGCAACTCGCGTGGAAGTCGTTTCAGCTGTGGCGCTCGACGCTCTCCGTGGAGCGCCGCGACAACGTGTACGCGTCGCTCACGAACTCCGACTATACCAACTTCCGCTTAGCGCACCACATAATGGGCACGCCGTTCCCGGTGATCGACACCGTCCCAGGCTTTTTCGACGTGCTCAAAGCGGTGCGTTGGTACGAACACGTCGCCTCGGCCGCCACGGCACTTGCATACAGCTACTGGATCCGCTCCAAGGCGTCAACACGCTACGCACACATGATGCCCATGTCCCGCACAGCCATCACGATGCTAACGTTTTTCTCCATGGACATGTGCTTCTGTTACCGAAGCATGTACCGCCTTTCTGGTTACCTACCGAATGATTACGAGTGCCGCAAGTATGGCGTCATGGAGGGCAAGGAACGTCTGGAACAGAAAAAGCAAATGTGGGAAAAGTACGCCAAGTACAAGAAGGAATGGTGCCGCCGCTTTGACTATCATGTGTACGGCATTCGCCCTGGTGAGAACTGGAATCTATTTTCGGCATGCATGCTTCCAGCGTGGGAGCCGGCATACAACACATGCACGGACTATCCAATGCGTAAGAACCCGTACTTCCTCACATCGACGCCACTGCGCGATATATTCGCTGAGTCGCAATTCACGTACGAGATACCGAAGGATGAAACCGTGCCGCTCGTAAAGGCGAGGCCAGAGTTCAAGTACTTATACCGTGGCCCCGAGCGTGAGGCACTCGTTTCCGAGAAGAAATAGTTTTCGTATCGTTACGCGAGTCTTAGTGAGGAAAAGGTGTTATTAGTATTTATATAGTTGGGATGGATGGGAACGGAGGGAATAGGATTGACGGGTGCATTTGAATTAGAGCAGACATCATGCCCTGGTACGGGTGGTACGTATGGTAGCTGCATGGTTGTGTATAAGTTCTCTTTGTGTGCGTCTTTGTTGCGTATGGCAAACTTAGTGTGGGCGTAGAGAGGGAAAGATGCGCTGGTGTGAGAGGAAAATCTCGGTTTATGCATTATGCTGTACAAGTGAGGTAAAAAATATATCGTGAGCCATTTTGTTGTATCTCTCTCTCTCTCTCTCTGGTATGTCGTGTACGCATCGTTTCCTGGTGACTCTGTTTTTTCTATGCCTCTTTTCGAGGGGAAGCGCCCCGTGTACGCCAGGTCAAGTCATATCTGCTGGCCACGCTGAGCCACGAGAAGGCACACCTATGAGCTTGAAGGCTCTGTGTGATGCTGCCATTGCTGGTTGCTTGGTCGGGGAGCGGGGGCAGAAGCAACAACAGCGACAGCAACGTGCAGTCTTAGAGTCGATGTTTCAATCCCCTGCTCCTGCGTTGGAGGAGGCCCCTGCGGTGCAGGAACTGCGGCGAGCCGCGCAGGTCTTTGTGAGGGAGCATGCACACCTGCTGGATTCGGGCACCGTCAGCAACGCTGCATCTGTAAAAAGGGAGAAGCGTCCCGTCTGTGAAAGTATTCTGCGCGATGCGGAAGCCACCGAGGCCTTGAAGGCGGAGTGGCGACAGATCCTCCAAAGAACGTACACCGTCTCTGCGAAAGATGTTGTCGCCAAACCTTTTCTTGGCAGAGTGGAAGCGATCGACCAGAAACCCCAGCCGAATGTCATGAGTTTCGACTCAGACGACGACGACAAGAACAACCACAACAACAGCAACCAAAATAATACTAATGGTGATGATGATGATGGAGACATGGTGTGGGAAGCACTGCAGTTGAATGAGAAACCGTCGTGCGGTAACGCCGCAGAGTTTATAGCGTCGTGTTTTCGGGAGTGGGAAGAGGCGCGTCGCATTGTGGAGGGCGAGAGGGCGAAGGAGTTCCTTCGCGCGCTACACGAAGTCGTCGATACGGGTCTTGACGCTGTTATCATTGACGGCAATTGGGACTTCTGGGAGGCTTCGCTGGCCTCCTGTGTTGCGCAGGACACGGCGTCGCTAGAGGCTGTTGCGGTGGTGGATCTGCTGTACGCGCGCTGCGCGCCCCGACACAAGGTCCTTCTTATCGAGTGCATCTCTGAGAGAATTGAGCGAGCTGAAGAGGATGTGGCAGGTGCGAAGGAAAACTATCTGCAGCTACTGAGCCGGCTCCTGCTGCACACCCCAGAGGACATAGTTCCTTTCATGGATGATGAAATCCTCCATCTGCTTCTGTGTGGAATGCGCGTTGTTGTGAATCACATAGACTTCTTTAACACGGTCGATCCCCAGGCACGCTGGCTAAAAGGCCTCATGGTTCGTCCATCAGTCCTCCGCGATATTGTGCTGCTGCCGGCAACAGAACCAGAAGTTGTGAGCAAAATAGCGAGAGCGATGCCTGCACCACATGCCGTTGGGTTGATCCTAACGATGCTTCCATTGTGGGTGCAGCAGCTCCACGACAGCCGCACCTTCACACAGCTCTTTGATGGAATCGTAGAGGCGGTCGTGAAGGAACGTATTTCTCCCGAAGCAGTAGAGGATGCCTTGGCGTGCATTGGCCGCTGCATCCGCGGCATAACTCTTGAGAGACGCTACGCACACTTCAGAAAGGTGTGCGACGCTATTACCCTCAGCCGTCACAGCGAAGCCAAGGAGTCTGTGCTGCGACTGCTGAGGCTTCTCCTGCGCTTCGCCCTCCCTTCTGCCCATGAATCTGATGTGAAATACAGACTACCGGCAACGCACTTAAAATCCCTTGAAAAGGGGCTTTTGAAAAAATCGGAGAATTGGTCAAAAACGAACGCGGCTAGTCAAGAGATGATTGGCAAGTTCTGGCGGGAGCTGCTACGTTGGTATGCGGCGGACCTGCCTAAAGTTGTTGCGCACGTCGTGAAGACGGTATGCCGACACGAGAAACGGCCGGGGATGCCGTGGGATGAGGGACACCTTGTTGCAGTCAGCCAATCCATCCCGCTGTGGCGCGGGCTCGAAGAGGTCTTGGAAGACAAACAACGCGCAAGCTCTCTCGACTACGTGGCACTCATAAACCACATATGTGCTGATGACATGAAGTCCTCAGATCAACTTTCACGGCAAGAAAGCCAGAGAATAGGTATGTGGTGTATGTTGATGCGGTGGTGTACGAATGCCCACGCTCGTCGTGGCCTGTTTCGAGCGACGACAAAAGCGCTACGGTCTCTCACAAAAGACAACAGCATCACGGATAATACCCTTCTTGCTATTCCTGTCGAGGAGTTCGGCACACTTTTCTGTATGCCGCAAGCACTTACACCAGGGGAAATGAAGAGGCAGCGCCGCCTAGTTGTGTTGCTCTCCATCAGGTTGTGGATTGCCGCGCTAAGTTCTCCAGTGGAGACCCCAATACCTGCTCAGTTGGATGTAATTGGCATGATCCTTCAACAACTTCGGGCCTCATGGGTCGATTTCAACGCCAGCGATATGGCATCGCGAGAGCCTTTGGGGGAAGAGTCTTTACTGATACTTTTATGTGTGTATGCGTTGAGCAAGTTGACAAGAGTAGGAGGCAGTTCTCCCACGTATGAACACCAGCTGCAGAGTGCTCTACAGCAGCTGCTCTCAGAAAGGCGGGGGTTCGACCCGATAACGCAGCTTCTGCGCTACTTAACAACTGGCGTTGACTGCGATCGCCTTGCTCCTGTTCTTGCTAATCGATTTGAGGCGGCGTGTGAGCCACCTATTGTGAGCGGTGTCGAAAAGTGCGAGCGTTCTTTGCTTCTGGAAGTGGAAGACAAGGGGCTCGGCGCGCTAGAGCGTTTACTCGGAAAAAGAACGGGAAAAGGTGAAAAAAGAAAAGAAAATGCGGGGGAGAAGGGTGAAGAACGTAACCTCCGCTCCGTTCTGTTGTTGCTGCTTCAACTGCACGCAGGTGATGCATCTCGAGCTGCTTTAGTCTTCAATGCGTATCCCACGCTGAAGTGGGGAGCATACTCGCGGTGCACCGAGCTGGCGGTAGGAATCGTGCAGCATCTTCTTGATTCCCACCCGCAGGTGGAGGATGTTCTTCGGTGCAGGGGCGTCGATGTGTATTACCTTTCCCTGTTGTGTGTCTGTCAATGGCTGCGCGACCCGATCAACTCGGCGGATCTCGCCAGCGCCTCGATTGAGAAGTTCATGCTTCTTGGGCAGGCGGCATGGGAAAGGATCGTTGCAGAGAGTTTGTACACTTACGTCAAGGCGCGTTGCGAGGAAGTGACAGAGACCGACGGACTAGCAAGCTCGAGGTCAGAGTCGGGTGTGTTCCCGGTGAGCCTGTTTTTAGCCTTGTGTCTCACAAAAGCCTTCGCCCTCGTCGAGGGTGTGTGAAGCCACGCATACAAAAGTTTAAATGCTCAGAACTGACCCTTTTGTTTTGGCGTAGGGTGGGTGAGAGAGAAAGGAGAGGAAGTCTTGCGTATTGATAGGCGTGCTGTGGGTGCGTCTATCTCTCTCTCTTTCTTTTCTTTGTGTCTGTGTGCATCTGTGTGGCGAAATATCCTTCGCTTTTTGTTTGTTTTTCTCCTTTTTTTTTTTTCTGTGCCCCTGTTTGGTGTTCCTCAGAAAACTGTGCATTGAAGCAGAGTGGAGCGAGAAGACGATGAACGGTAGTGTGGGGGTGGCCGCGCACAACGCGCAGATGTGGCGGCGCTCACCAGAGCTGCAGTCAGTCAGAGACCCCTCATCCCCGTGCGTCCCGGAGGACGCCGGAAGTGCTGTCGAGTCGAAAGAGAAAGTTGTACGCATTGTGATGGGTTCGTTGTCAGTAGTGGATTGGGTGCGCAGCCAGTGGCTACTGTGGCTCTTTGTGCTCAGCATAGGCATGGCGTATTACCGTCCCACCTCTATGGACATCGCCACCAGTGCCTGGAGTCGCATTCTCGTATTTGCATCATTTACACTCAGCGGCGCATCGTTTCCTGACCTTGATAAGAGCGTCACATTGCGCTTCATTGGCCCCGCCATCGCCGTGGGCATCATGAACTTTATCATCTCCCCTATTTTGGGTATAGTAGTTTACACGATACTTCATGGCAACAGCGAGACCCACTATTTATTCGTTGGATTGATGTGCGCGTTTTGCCTCCCCCCGTCTGCTATTCTTTCTGTGGCAGCATCCCGTTCATCGCAGGGAAACGAGGCTCTCGCACAGTCCCTCAGTGCCATCGGAAATTTTAGTGGGGTTATTGCTTCGCCGTTACTCATGTTGGCATGTATCTCGCTCTCGCATTATGCCAAACTTCCGAGTACCGTTGATATGTTGCTTTTCCCAGTAACTGTCATTGGTCCCTTTTTGATTGGGATCTTGGCGCAGAAGGGCTTTGCGTGGGTGTCACATCGTCGCATCACAGGGGAGGATCGTAACGATACTCGCTTCAACAAGGCTGAAGTAGTGCGTTCTGAACTGTGTGATGGCAGTCTCGTGCACTGGCGACAACGTGCAGTTCAGATGAATTGTTTTGTGATGCTCTTATTGAACTATTTTATGTTTAGCTCTTTCTTCACCCAGCCGCTTGCCCCAGGTTTGTTAACATGGCGAGGGGTTGGGCTTGTGGCGTCTCTGGAGCTTGCGATATACGCTGTGCTATGTCTCGTTGGTTGGCCGTTGGCCTCGATGATCACTGCCACACCCGAGGAGCGTATTGCGGTATTCTTTGCCTTGGTTACGAAGTCTGAAGTGCTTGTCGTCCCGATCATACTGCACCTCTTCCACGAGAATCGACAAGCGGCTGTGATACTGCTTCCCTCGCTGCTGTATCATCTTGTCCAAGCATTTGCTACAGGCGTGCTGAGTTTTCCGATACGACGGTGGCGGTATCGCTACAACTGCCGCCCTGGCACGACACTGCTGCCACTGCGGCTAAGCAAAACAGCACGTGCTTCTTCAGGGAAATCGTAGCTGTTTTGTCGATGAGAGAATACTCTTTTTTTTTTCGTTCGCTGTTCGAAGTGGACGAATATTTTGCCACATCAAAGCGCACCTTCTTTGTTTGTTTTTGCTGTACCACTGGGTCTTATCGTGAAGATTTCTCTTGGAGTGTAATGCGCTGATGTATATAAGACGCAGCAACCATGCCGCCTCTCTCTCACTCTCTCTCTCTCTCTCTCTCTTTCCAGAGCACCTGCCCAAGTGTGAGCCGAAAGTGGAAAAATTGATATAACGGCGCTGGGATATATCCCCGACATGAATCGCTGGTCTTCAGGGGACGCATGGAGGCTTGCTGCTGGTGTGCTTCTTGTCTTTGTGGCAGTGACGCACGCCAGTGTAGATGTATCAACCGGCTTAGTACGCAGACATATCTGCAAACACCAACAAGTTGCCATTCCATACAGTCAACTTCCGACCGTCAACGTGAGTTACCGCAAGGCTTTGCCGCGCAGCATCACCACTGCAGCCCTTGCTTCTGGCCGCCGAAACATTCGATTTCACGCTCATTTCCTCTTGGACGGCTCCTGCAAAGAAGTAGGGCAGGAGGTTCCCAACTACGAGGGCACGAACGTGGCGTGCACCTCCAAAGATATAGTAACACCGCGGAAACTTAAGGTGCTAAATTTCATAATGGACTCTGCATTTGGGTTCCTTCAGCAGGCGATCCTTGTGGATCCCGTAGATCACCTTGAGGTAAATGCGGGGGCATGTTCGAATCTGGTGAGCCCCGCAATGACAATAGAAAATAAAGATTACGCCGTGTTGATCACAGCCAACCCGGGGAGGTCGCAAGGAGACGTAATTGCATGGGCCCGCTGGTGTGCTAAAGACTCCTTCACAGGCAGACCTGTGGTTGGCCATGTTAATTTCGTGCCATCCGTCGTTGGGGACTACTACACCGACCTCGATATACATGTGGCGATGCACGAGATAACACATGCCCTTGGCTTCACTGACATTGCCGCCAATGCCAAGCCGCACGCTTTGCCGAATAACACGATAATGCCCGGCTCCATGAAAGTGTTCCGGCCGGAACTGGAGAAGACAGTAACTATCATCACCACACCAAAGGTTGTTGAGGTTGCGAGACGTCACTTTGGGTGCCCGACGCTTGATGGTGTGGAGGTAGAGGATAATGGTGGCGGTGGTACAGCTGGGTCGCATTGGAAGAAGCGTATTTTGTTTGAAGAAGTGCTTGTCGGTATGATCACCACAGCAAAACTCTTTTACTCTTCCTTTACACTAGCCTACCTTGAGGACCTCGGGTACTACTCTATCAACTACACTGTGGCGGAAGACGACTTCCGGTGGGGACGCAACAGGAAGTGTCGGTTTCTGTACAACAAATGCAATGACCAAGATGAGTCCGTGGACGAATTCTGCTTCAGTGAGAGTGGCCTATTTGGGAGTGCTTGTACACATGATAGACTGGGTCTGGGGGCTTGCGATGTCGTGGTTCACGACCAAGAACTCCCTTCAAATTATCAGTACTTCACGGATAAGAGACGTGGCGGAAGCTCAGATTTGATGGACTATTGTCCTGCCATTATGGGGTTCACAGACATAAACTGTGTAACGGAAAGAATCCCTGTTGGGTCCAATATATTCGGAAGTGAGGCTGGAGAATACAGCCGCTGTTTCGACTCAAACATGATCGCTGCTGCGTTCCCTATCATAAATACAGGTGGACGCTGTTTTCCGATGGCGTGCACAGAAGCTGGTCAAATGCTGCTTCGTATACAGGGACAAACGGTGCCGTGTCCCGAGGATGGAAGTGAAGGTGAGGCCGACACGTCCCGTTTAATCGGCGTCCATGGTAAGATAAAATGCCCTGTGGCAACACTTCTCTGCCATAACGACTCAGCACTCAATCCGACGTATTTATCTCCTGGAGCTATTTTGGCAACTGCGTCTACATCACCACTGGTGCTCCAAAGTCCTATCGAATTCGCGCCACAATATGCAGCGACATGCGAAGAGCGCGTTATGTGTGCTGATAATTTAACATGGGTATTTCCTGGGTGCCGCATCATGGCGAAAAGAATCGTTGACTGCTTTGGTACAGACTGCGAGACAGCGATGCGAAAGTGGCTCGATCGAAACAACCTGACGGAGCAATGTAAAGATCGAAGAAAGGTTGCTGAATTGTGCCTGGATGGGTGGATAGGTGCCCATGGGATATGTTCAGTGGCGTCTACTGCTGCCGCCGTAAAGCCACTGATTTCCATTATTGTTACGTTCGCAGCGCTTATATTCGTATTTATTTTCTGAGCCCGCGGTGGTGCTGTGTGAATCCGCATGTGACTATTCACGGCCAGCGAGAAAGTACATAGCTGAGAATCTGAAGAGTTACGTATGGTTAGATTTTTCCCCCATTCATATTTGTTCTTCCTTGCTATATTACGGGGGTGCGGATGCCGCTACGCTGAGTAATAAAAAATAGAAGCGATGGGGTAGAAAGGAAGTGAAGTATTTTTTTTCACTTTGTGAGGACGTCTGTTTGTTAATTTATTTTTTATTCCACTTTTGTTAGTCTTCTCTCATTCTCATCGCTCTCTGGAGTGTCGGGGCCCCTCAATGTCGCATCTTCCACGTGTAGTGTGTGGAGGAAACACCAAGACCTCTTGTCATTCTTTGTCTATCTATCTATCTATCTCTCTGTGTTTTGTCCGTATGTGTCTTTAAATCTCCTTCAGAGTATCAGTATTCCACAGGTACGCTATGGAGGCCCAGTCGTTGAAGCTTGAGGGGCATGACGTGACGGACGATGATGTCGCTCGGGCTTGCGCAAATAACGCAGTAGTAAGCATCACGTTGGAGGGCTGTGATCATGTCACCGATATCAGTGCGCTGGCCAATATCCCTACGCTAGAAGAGGCGCACATTTACAATTGTAAGAAAATGCGATATGTGGGTTCATTGGGTCAAACAGGCACAGCACTTCGAAAGCTTGTGCTGGACGGGACTCCAATAACAGGGGCGCAGTTGCGCAGCATGAAAAGCGAACGCACACAGGTTGTGCTTAGGGAGCAGATAAACTTCCCGGATATGGAGCGGCCACGCCAATCGCTTGTGAAGTCAGCTATCGATATGATTCGGAATGTGGCAGCCCAGTTTAATCCAGAGGAGATTGGAGTTGCCTTTAACGGAGGCAAGGACTCGGTGGTCATGATGGATCTCCTTCAATGTGCGCTGGGCGCCGATGTGGTGGAACGATTTTGTGTGTTTACTCTTGGATCAGGCGGAAAGAATGAATTCCACGAAGTAGTTTCCTTCAGACAGGCGTACATGGAGGCTTATAATATGTCTATAGTCAAGACCAATCCGTCGTTATCAATGAAAGAGGGCCTTGCACACCTGGTGGATACGAAGGGTATTCGTCTCGTCTTCATGGGAACACGCATCAGCGATAGCGCACATCAAAAGGCAAGTGTGGAGCGCACAACGGCAGGGTGGCCTGACATGTTGCGTGCATGCCCAGTATTCCATTGGGAATACGAGGACATCTGGGGTTACACTCTCGCCTACGGTCTTCCCTTTTGCAGGTTATACACTTTGGGTTACACCTCCCTTGGCGGGCTTGACAACACCACACCAAACCCTCTTTTGCGCCGCAGCGATGGCACTTTCCGTCCAGCCTGGGAACTGAGCGACAGTTCGGCTGAGAGGAGTGGTCGCCTGGTACGGGCATGATCATTTAAACTGACCCGGCAAAAAAAAAACGGATAGTTCTCTTTGGGTGACTTGCAGAAACCTGGCTCGGCTACAGCCGTATTGTGTGGAAGAAAAAGATGGAGGAAGGGTGAATATAGCCGTTTTTTTCAATTTAAACTCTCAGTGCCATGCACTTGTTGACGCCTTTTCGCGTATGTCTTGTTTATTTCGCATTGTTTGTTTGTTCTGTTGGCTTACGTGGTGAGGGGAGAGAGCGGTAGCCAAATAAAATAAAAATCAAAGGACTGCTCGCGACGGCAGCTGTGTGTGTGTGTGTTTCTCTGTAGAGTGTAGACCGAAGGATGATACGCAGTGGGATGCCGTTCAATCCCATGCGGCGCACGCCGCCACCGCCGCCGTATATCGACACCTTCAACTTGGTCCCCGGCGACTACATCAGCATGGTGTCGGCGGAGGGCCATAAGTTCCTCCTGCATCGTGACTGCGCCTGCGTGTCGCCACTCCTCCGCAAGTGCTTCGCGGACCGCATCGACCCTGCGCTTCCAACGTTGTACATTGACTGGGGTGACAGCGACGCGAGTGCGCCCACCATTCACTTTCCCACATTCCCGGCGGCGTGGCTGGAGGTGATTATTCAGTACCTGTATTACAAGCACCGCTACGAGGGCGATACGGAGGGACGGCCGCCGTTTCATGTACCAGTCGACGCGGCGCTTGAGGTGATGAAACTTGCGTCGACGCTTCTGTGCTGATTGTCGATAAGGAAGTGGCTGGGACGCCTCTGCAGTGCGGCTGTGTTTTGGATGATTCTATGGGTGTGGGTGAGGGTGAATGAAATGTACAGATGCGGAGAGTGGATTGTGAATGTACTCGAAGCGGGGTGGCATACGTTCTGTGCCATGTGGCGTATTTGTTTTCTATTTGTTCTTGGACGATTGTCTCTTTGTGCTTGTGTGATTTTGTCCTCACAAAAAATGTTGACTTGTGTTCTTTGTGTTGCGTACCCGGTAGTGTAGTGACTGCTCTCCGGCCGAGAGCCGCGCCTGCATAGCAGGAACTCAATCCCCGGCTCTGCCTCTGCGTCTCTCTGGCGGGAGATGTCGAGAAAGTCTCGGACGACGGTGCTGCCGGAGCAGTCGGTTTCGCCGTTGGTGGCATTCGACAAGTCCCACATGTTGTGTGTGCGCTCCGCCGACGGTCACCGCTTCCTGGTGGACCGCAACTGCGCGATGGTGAGCGGCGTGCTGCGGCGCATGATGCGTAGGAAAAGCTGCGACGGCGACACCGCCACTGCCACCACCACGACGGCCACAACGATCACCACTGTCACCACGCCGTCCCCTACCCCGAGTGAGGTGATACGCATTGGGTGCGAGTCGTACGAGTTGCTTCAGCTGGACGAGATACGCAGCGACCTGCTGGAGTTGGCGCTGCAGGCGATGCACTTCAAGTACAGGTACGACGGCGACCCGGAGAGACGGCCGCTGGAGCCGCAGCACACAGCGGAGACCAGACACAAGCTGGCGGCGTTGAGCGTGCTGTTGGATATGTAAAATGGAGTAGGAACCTATCTATCTATATATATATAACGTACGTGAAATGGGAATGGCACAAAAAACAAAGATGAATTTAACAACGACATGTGTTTGTACTAAGAAAGTGGATTCTGACAATAGTGAAGCGATGTGCGTCTTAACTCAACTCAACTCACCTCATCTCCTCTTCCCCACCCTGTCTTTCTTGGTTGATTGTCTTATGTATATCTATTTATATATATGTTGTGTGTGTGTGTGTGTGTGTTGTCTGTCATTGTTTTCTTAAAGCGAATGAACGAATACGAGGACGCATCTTCGGACGCATCATGCAGTGGGGAGGTGAGAAGCCTCTCCTCCGCCGAGGACGCGGAGCTCACGTGGATTCCCGGTGAGGACGAGCATGTTGATAAGGAATCAAACGGTGGTGAGTTTGATGAAGATGAGGCACCGCCTTACATGGCGTCGGACTTCAGCAGTGCTCTTGCCAACGACCTAGCCAATCAGCAGCAACAGAAACTACGGGAACAAGACGCTTTGAAGGAGGGATCGCCAGTGGCGCAAGCGAGTGGAGCAAGCATTCCAAGGATCTGTTGCATCTGCGGGGACGCTGCGTTGTACACGTGCCCGGGTTGTGGAGCGAGAACCTGCAGCATCACCTGCGTGCGGATGCACAAGACTGAGTCCAAGTGCACAGGAGAACGTGACATGGCCAAGAAGGTGCCGCTGAGCGAATTCACTGATAGGCATCTGCAGCGCGACTTCTACTTTCTGGAGGACGTCCGGCGCGTGGTCAGCAACTGCGAGCGCACGTTTCCCAAGATGTGGCGCTACACGTTCCGCGCGCTACCCCCGCCGCTGTACGCTCTGCGCGAGGCGGCGAAGAAACGCGGCGTCGTGTGCCAAATCACATCGGAAGGGATGACGAAGCGGGACGCCAACACGTCTCGCTACGACAGAAAGACGGAGACTATCACGTGGCGCTGCCAGTTCAATTTTCACGACCCTGACTTCTGTGTCGCAACAGACTGGGGCAGCGAGCGGCACCGTCTTGGTGACATTGTGGCGTACTGCTGGGCCACTAAGCCCTCGTTGCCGTGCTTTCACATAAACCGGCAGTACAATCGCGCCTCAAAGTGGATTGGAACTAGCGAGAAGGACGAGTCGGCAGTAACACCAGCAGGAAAGGGGTACGAGGCGGAGAAAGAGGATGAAGAGGCGATGGTGGTGGCAGAAGAAGACCAGCTCCATCCATCGCAACCACTAGAACAACAGCAGCAGCAGCAGCAGCACCTCGATGAAGAGTCACGGCCAGATGAGTGCGAGATGGAGGTCACCGCTGAGGACGATGCCGCACCTGCGGCACTCTTTGTTGACTCCAATCAGCATCAACAAGAGATGTGGAGGCCGTCCAAGTTGGTCATCGCCCCACTCTCGCCAGTGGAGAAAGACAATGAGAAAGCTGTCTCGTCGTTTTTGGCAGCAGGCCCTGTCATCATTCTAGCACAGGCTGAGAGACTGGGGCTGCAGCAGAAGTACTTCCTCATGTCGCCCTCCGCCACACTGAACGAGGCGCTCCGCACCCTCTTCTTCATCAATGAGTTCCCAGTCTTCGAGATCATCCACGCCGCCGACCTTGACGCCTACCCACTCGTCACGGAGGCAGACAAAGAAAGCATCCGCGAGAGTTTTCGTATGGCGCCGCGGCCGCCGAAACCAGAGCGCAAGCCGCGCCGCACGAAAGCTGACCTTACTCCAGATGAGGTGGAGCGGTGTGCGCGGGTGCCGTGCCGCATGTTTCTCGCCGGATGCTGCCGCCTCAGCGAGGAGGATTGCCCCTACTGGCACTGTGAGTACAAGGATGTGCCGGCGTGTCGCAGTTTTTCCAAATTTGCGGCGTGTGAAAAGGGCGATCGCTGCAGCTTCCGACACGATGCTGCTGCTGTCTCTGCGGCGCGGAAGCGGGCGCGGGAAGAGCGTCAGCAACCGTACACCAACAGGAATAGGCGTCGGCACACGTAGCTCCAGTGGGACGCGGCTGTGTATCTGCGGGTGCGTGTGTGAGAGAGAGAGAGAGAGAGGGGCGAGTGAGTAATCAAGTACGGGTAAAAGAGAAGTGAAATATTCTGTAAGGTGCAGTTAGCCTGTCTGCTGCAAAGAGAGAGCGAAAGAGAGAGAGAGAGAGAGAGAGAACAAAAAAGTCAGAAGTGTGAAAAACGAACAGGATGCGTTCAAAAGAAGTTTGCGAACCCAATGTGTGCATGCCCTTCCTCTCTTGTCTTGGCCTCACTTGTAGGGAGTATCTACCGCCGAAGAGACGACCACAGGAACAAGAACCCAAACAGAAGTCTGTGTGTGCGTGTGTGGCAGGAGCTACCATCATCTAGCGACAACACAAAAAAAAAACACAAGGCGATAAACGATGCAAGACGTTGAGAATACATTCTGTACCTTGCGTGATGCATTGACGGGGGCGGTGCAGTTTTTCTCTAAGGGGGTCAGACCGAGTGGGATGCCGCTGACGCAGCAGCAGGCTGTTGATGTGCTGGAGGTATATGACGCCCTCATCAGTGAGGCGGAAACGGAACAAGAGGCGTGCACGTATGCCGTGCGCCGCTCGCTCGAGTGTGGATTCATCAGCTTCCTCGCGGGCATCCTCACCCGCCCCTTCCAGCACGTGCACGAGCTCGACGCGCAGGTCCCGCAGCCCTTCCTGCCGCTCCGCATGAAGGCCGCCAAGTCCCTCCAGCGGCTTCTCATCACAAGCAGCGACCTTGGCGCGCGGATGTGCTCGTACTGTTTCCGCGTTGCGCTGGAGGAGGGGCTGCTGCCGCAGCTGCTGCATGCACTCGCAGAGTCGCCTCACGAGCCGCTCCGGTTGAGCGCGGCGGAGACGCTTTTCGTGTTTGCCTTTCGCATCCACGAGGGCACCACCGGCCTTGTGGCGTCGGGTGGCATTGGCGCTCTGTGTCGCGCGTTGGTCGGAGACACCAGCCCCGCTGTGCGCAGTGTCTGTGCGAGCGTGCTGCGCGAAACGGTCAATACGCACGCCGAGGAGTTCACAGTTCCCGGCACCGCCGCGGTGCTCGTGCGGGGGCTCGACGACGGCTCCGCCGATGTGCGGGTGCTCGCTTCGGAGATTATCGACCAGGCACTGCATCTCTGCCCGAGTAAGATGGTGAACGTGCTGCAGGACTCCCGCAACCTCTTTGAGGCGCTGCAGCACATCTTCGAGGAGGACCCGAGCGTGGAGGTGGTGGAGTCGGCGGCACGCCTCTTCGAGACGTGTTGCAGCGTGGCAGCCGCAATGAATATGCACTCGTTCTTTGCGTTGTCGATCCCCATGAACGTCGCCAAGACGTTGCTGCAACGGCTGCGCGGGGGAGGCAACGCTGGTGCCGCGCTTGCGCGGAGCCTACGGCTGTTGGTGCAGTACACTCCCGCCCAGTACGAGCTGCCGCGCCGCATCCTGCACGAGCACGAGCTGCTGGCCGTCCTGCTGAAGGGGATCGTTGATGCGGGCCGCGGTCGCTCCACCGCTGGGGAGGATTACGCCACCTTTCAGATTAAGAGCGTAGAGCTGGCGCTGTGTCTTTGCATTATACTGAGCCAGACACCGGCGTACCGCGAGCACCTGGAAAGGGAGTTGCATGACTACCAGCACTGGGCGGCGGTGGTTAAGAACGCCGCGTTTTCGCTTCTGGACGCAGCTGCACTCGACTACTACACCAATATTGAGCTGCAGGACATTACGGGATGCCACCTCAACGCACTCCGTGAAGTCGAGTGGGACCCCGATAATACACCGCAACGTGGCTACGTTCATCGGCTTTTTCAAAAGCAGGCGCAGCGCGTGGGCGAGATGCAGGAACCTGTGGCGCCGGACTACAGTGCCCCTCTTCTTCCAGAGGTGGACGTGCACGACGAGGAGCAGCAGGTGAAGAAGGTGCGCCTCACATTCGTCTTGTTGGTGTTCGCCATCAACCTCACCTTCCCCGTGGACAGCCAGGAGGTTGTTGAGGGCACTGGTGTGGTTCCTGCTGCTGATGGAATTAGTGGTGGGTTGCGCGCCTCGCAGCCGTGTGTGGCAAACCGTGCGGTGCCGCGATTCCCATCTTCTTCAGCGCCGGCGCGCAGCAAACATCGCGAGTACATGATGAACCCTAATGGCCTTGTGAACCTCAGCACGCGCGGACGAGAGCGCAGTGCAATGTCGGAAGACGAGAAGGAGGCCATGGCAATTGCATACGACAAGTTTAACTCCTCTATGGCTCTGGTGATGAAGTACACGCAGCACTACAGCTCAAAGAGGCAGAAGGCCGATGAATTTGTAGAGACGGATGATGGTTACATTGTGCGCACGTCTCGGTTAAAGAATCCTTGGCACGTTATTGTCGAGAACCAGAGGCTCAAGACGTGGCAGGTCAACGACCTCAAGGTGGCTGACCTTTTGTACTTCTCGCTGCCGTTCGACGAGATTGGGGTGCAGACGATGGACGCGCTTGTGCACAAGGTCCGTAGGCATGCAATGTACCTAAAGAAGGAGCTCCTGCTGACGCCGCAGAGCAACAAGGGCCGGCGGTGGTTCATTCATGACATGATGAAGAACGTCATGCCCAATGCATTGGCGCTCCTTGAGCAGCTCAGGACGCTCGTGCAGGCGCGTGGCGGAGACGGCGTCCGCTTCCCCATATTCCTCTTCCGCGAGAAGGAGCTGCATTTCGGTGAACGCGCCCTGCACCCGGGCAACCTTGTGGATGTGGTTGACCAGATTGAGTTCTACTTCTCCCAGAGTGTAGAGAAGACCGTTGGCGTCGATAACGCACGGCTGCTGCAGCTTGCTAAACAACTAGATGATATTGAGAAGGACGCGAACATGGTTGATCTCTTTGATTCCAACGCACCTGCGATGCAGCGTGGAGCCGATAGGGAGGAGGCGCATGACCAGCAGCGGCAGGAGGAGGATGAAAACGAGGGTTACGGGCACGGGACGATAAGCTCAGACTCTGAGACAGATCTTTAGGCATGTTCAGATTGTTCTAGTTGTGTATTTGTATTCATATATATATATATATATATTGCCACCTTGAAAAGTTACATTTCAGTTCTCTGTGTGGAGTCACAACCCTCATTATCGATGATCTATGACCTTTTCGAGCTTGTGTGTGTGTGTGTGTGTGCGTACACGTGTACCTCACTACAGGTACTTGCACTGAGATGCTTTTTTGCTCGTTTGCCACAAACAACCCATTGTTTCCCCTCCATCTATCTTGTGTCATGTTCCCTTCCATTGACAATGTATCCTGAGTGCTTCGTGATTACAGGGAGAGTAGAATAAAGAAAAAATTGGGTGTGAGTTGGTGTTTAGTTGGCTGTAAACATGGCGTCAGAAGAGGGTGACGTTCGAGTGGTGCAGGACACTACAACGTACACGAAGGCAATTCGCAAGGATGCCCAGGCTTCATGGGTGCGCGGCCTCACCCCAGTAGAGGATGAGGAAGAGTTGCAACAACGACGGGCGGTCGCCCTGAGAAAAGCAAGAGCAGCATCACCGGTTGCAACACCCAGCCGAAGGAAACACTGGTTACGTGTGCCTATTCTGCTTGGCTTCATGTCTTCCTTAATCATTCTCCACAACGCTCTTTGGGGGCCTGCGCGGCGTCCTCTTGACTTCCCGGTGAATGAGGAGGAGTTGTGGGAGTTCTCCCCGAGGTTTCCGAAGGGACTCATGGTCTTTTTGATGGAAGTATGGCAACTATGGAGTACATCGACTATATGTGCGTTATTTGGCTTGACGCTCTCGTGGACTATCGGCACCTCCGCGCGCCACTTTGTAGCACTTTGTGGTGTGGGAATCTCACTGCTGTCTCTGATTGCGGTGATTGGACAGCTCATATTGTTGTGGACAGCCTGTGGTATCTCTCGCTCAAGTGGAAAGGATGAGTGTGATGTACCATTCGTGCTTTATTACACGCTTAGTGTGTTTCGTACGTTGGGCCCGCTGCTCGCCGTATGGTGCGTGGGTCCCGTGCTAGATGTCGTGTGGGATTCCGGGTGGCAATGGCGGCTCCTTCTGGGGTCTCCCGTTTTCATTTACGCCGTCGCGGCGGTGGGGGAGGTGCAACTTAAAGAGCAACTACTCAGTAGTGTGCCCGTCTACTTGACGTTGCTCGCGTGGGGGAAGCTTTTGTTGTCTTGCATCAAGGAGAAGCCGTTCCGGGTCGTCTTTGAGGTGAAAGAGCACGGTGATTAAAAGATCCAGGTGGAGCGCATTCATGCGGGTTTGCGCCTATTTGCATTCTCTGTGTCTAGTTTTTTTGTTTATTCTGTGTGGGACCTGGTGAAGAGGTGTGCCCAACCGATTCTTTTTTTGTTGGTGGGAGGGGACCGTTGAGTATCATGTGTGCAGTGCGGCTATTGCCTTCTTTTTCGCTCTCCATCGATTCTTGTCCTCATGTCTCAACTCCTAACCTTAACTTGCACTGAAGCGGAAAAGGACGGGCAGTGGGGGTGGCGATGACGACCCGCCTCCTACCGGCTGTGTACACCGGCTTGCCGCTGCGGCTGCTGGACTGTTCGTCGTGTGCGCTCTACCATGCGCTGCGGCAACAACAAGAAGAACAGGGACACCAACAGGCACCTGTCACGTCTAGCGGCGTCATGAGTTTTGTGTTGGATGCCATCACAGGCGCCGTTGTGGTTGGCGGTGCAACGGAGAACCTCGTTCCCTTCCCGCTGTTGCGAAAGCTGCATGAATCATTTGCGTCAGTGTCGCAGGAGACACCACGGTGGGCGGCGTGGAACACACTTGTTGCTGATGATCGGCTAGTGGTCCTTGCTTTGCCGTGTGAGGTGCCGCAGCTCATGCAGGAATTCCCCCAGTACAAGAGGTTGTGTATGTGTGTGCCTTCAGGGCCGCTGGTCTCACGAATGCTCTTTCAACACAAACACCTGGAAGCGTTTTACGCGGAGGACCTAGGCCCCGCAATGACCGCGCTGGCGTCGGCGGGAGGCTACAGCTGGACGGCGTGGCTGCGCTCGTCGCTGACGTGCCGCTTCGAGGGGCTCTACGTGCCCGCCATACGCGTGGCGGAGAGCGCCGCACATCTGCTCAGCGCCGACGGCGGCTGCGAGCGCGTGGTGC